GAATCCTTCCTGTCCTCTCCCTCCTCCTTCCCCCGCACCGCTGACGGTGCAGGAGGCCAGGCGCTGCAGCCCCAGCCCAAAACACTTCCCTGGCTGCTCTCTCACGCTACAGGGCTGAATACATTTCTCTAGGACCTTGCCTCCTCTCACCGATGCATGCTGGTGGCCCACGTGCTGACCCTCTGCAGCACCAGGTGAGCTCTCAAAGGACAGCAGGGCTTCCTAGGAGAGGCCACAGGAGCCTGCAGAGGAGCAGGTGTTGCATTGCAAGCAGCAGCAGAGGCCCAGCTCTGGACAGGTTTGGCTGGAGTACCAGTTCCCACCAAGCGCACGGAGCCAGCTGCGAGCGGAGATAGTTTGAAGTCAGCCCAATGCTGTTCAACCGACAAACTCAGCCCAATGCTGTTCAAACGACAACAAGCTCAGACCTACTTGAAGAGCTAAGGACATGCTGTACGGGATATAGCTGCTGTCAGTTAAGACAGTCCACCCAAGATGGTGTGGGTCTCTCTTTCTTCCCCATGTTACACAGGGAGCAGATACAAATGTAGGGGACCTTCACTATGGCCAGCAGTGCCCATCAGCTCACCGACCTACAGAAGCTAAACCAGAACATATCACCCCATCTGCTACCTGGTGACTACATGCAGGGGGACAGAAAATGCTAAACTCCCCATGACAAATGCACCAGACCCTGTTTGTCAGCACTGGAAGTAACCTAACAGAGATTTACACAACTGCCAACATATTGCAAGATTTGCAGAGGGTCAACAGCCTGCACCCCACAGCCTGACACACACAGAGAAGTCAGAGTACCAGATTTAGTTGAACAAGGCAGATGTACCATTTCTAAACCAGATAGTTTTAATGGGAAACAATCCCTCTGCCAGCAAACCCACAGAACATCTGCAAACTTCACCATGCAACTTAGTAATATCGGATGATGGGCACTACTTACATGTATTTTGATGATAAAGACTATTTTTGTCCTGCTGCTCTTGCATGAAACAGAAAAAAAATAGCTGGTTCAGGGTAACAGACGCCCTTAGTTTGCAGTTTCTGCTCTTTCATGTTTGATGGATCTACTGCCAGTTCAGCTGGGAAAGG